CGAGTGTGGCTGTGGTTTGAAGAAAAAAGAAGTGCTTTACCAGTCTCTACTCATCGGTTACCATTGAAGAGGAGTCAGTTGCAACAATACAGTAAATCCTTTAAACTGAATCCAGAAGTTCTGACCACACTCTGCACATCAATGTACATTTGTATGCATGCACAGCACACGCTTGCACAACTCAAATCCTTTTCCATCGTTTGCGTAGCCTTTTAAGTTTGCTGTGAATCACAGTAGTGCATGCAAAAAGATGCATTTGTTCTCATTTAAAAGTCAACAATTAACTTTGCTAACCTTTCTCAAGGGCACATTCATGCATACACGTATGCACATGCAAAGTAAACACACATTCTTTCATGCAGGAACAAATTCAAAGAGAATCCAACGGCGCAATCACCAGAAGCACTGAGTGGATGTAATGCATATCGCACAGAAGAACTTAAATTGCGTCAGCACATGTTCGAAGCAAGCCAGTCGCACACGGTTTCCCAGGCTCATCATTTTCACTTGGAGGAACATGCTCCTCCACACCATCAACTTAAGTTTGGTACAATTACAATTGTTTGTCAATCCGCGAGTGTTAATCGAGGGGTTTTCTTGACGAAACTTCAGCACACTGAGTCAGCACAGATTTTTGAGGGTGGAGACCCAAAATGAAATCAGACACAGTAATACCCCGGTTTACATCGGTGTAGCGTCCCTTGAAGATGCAATGACAAATATCTAAATGACGTAAATCAAAGCGATTGACAGGGAAGGTGGAGGCGAAGGTGGAGGCGAAGGCCGAGGCAACGGACATGAGAAAGGACGGACGATGCTGTCAGTGACGTAATTGTGGGATTGAGGCGACGCAAATCGGGTAGCGGTATTGATAAAGTGATGACGTATTTACAAAATAACATAAAAGGGGGAGAAGATAATCGGAGTATTATTGTATCACTCGATGTTGGCCGTGGCGGTGAACACAAACCAGTATCGCTTGGTTCATAGTGCAGTGCGCCATTGTTCAAATAAATGTATCCAAAGCCGGAGGTGCAAAAGCCATGTTAAGTTTTGACCGCCCCAACCATTTCAACGTGCAAGGCTAAAAATCCAATCCACTTTGACATTGCCCCCATCACATCCCCCCCCCAAAGGTTATTTAGGACTTTCCCCAATCACAGCCTTCTTTCCTTACCAGAGCACGTCCGTTTGTCAGGCTGTAGCTTCATGAGGTGTGGACAGGTGCAGGCAGCTGTTCGGTTGTAGTTGATGAGGCAGTGATGAGAGCACGGACCTCTCCCCTCATTGTCTCCACATGGATTGTTGGCTAGAGAGGAATATACAATTGGACAGGGATGAACTCGCTCGCGCGTGCGCACACACATTCAGTGTTTATTATATTGGTATGCGATAAAAGTGTCTTCTCAAATTACTATATATACCAGCAGTAACCTGACTCTTTATAAAATATATGAAAAAAATTTCAATTAATAATGCAGCTTCTGCACAAAGATCTTACGTTATTTTACTTCAGCTGAAAAATGTTTCATGAACCTGAACTACCATCAGCATTTTCAAAACATTTCTCTTATGGACTGATATATCAATTTATAGTGCCAAATTAGTATGGCTGAAAAAGTACAAATGCATAAAACAAAACTGCTTCAAATACTATGCAAGATTTTAATGGCCGTTTAATTACCCAAACAAGACACGAAAAACTATAAACACCAAAAACAGGAATAATGTTGTCTCCAAAATAACTTCACAATCATGTTTTAAACACGTATGGCATATATTAAAGATTTACATATTATGCAGTCTCAATAAATAATGACTTAGTGAGGCAAACGAATTTCTCGAGCCAGTGAATATTCCTGTCGGCCTGGGTTACCTACTTGTTTACCCCTACGATATTTTGATTTGATATTAGAATGAATAACGAAAAGAAAACCAAAATAAGCATACAATGCAAGAACATGATCCTATATTTTACTTGATGCCAAAATGCCAAGTGTAGACTAAAGCATTTCAAATTTGTTGATGTTACAGGGATGTATTTGAATATATTTTTACTTGTCAGAGATTGTTTCTTAGCTTCGGGATTAACAGCACTTCCCAGGCATTTTATTTTGGGAACGTATATTCAACGAAAGATAAACTAATGGTTACTCCGACTATACAATCCGCAAAGCTATCACTCAAACCATGAAGAAGAACCCTCTTGAGGAGCCTTTCAAAACCATCACTTTACCCTACATTGCTGGGATCACAAAAAAGATCTCCAAAATCTTGAATAAACACAAGATCCAGGTCCGTTTCAACACATTACATAAAATCCGTGATCTGGTTCCGTCTGTAAAAGATGTGATTCCGGACATACAATACCCTGGTGTCTACAAACTAAGTTGCCTCTGTGGTAGTAGTTACATTGGAGAAACCAAACGCCATATCTCGGACCGCATTCGTGAACATAAAGCAGACCTTAAACACGGTAGGACCAACACCTCGGCCGTAGCAGATCATTGTTCTAATTCAGTAGGCTCACATGCCATTGACTTTTCCAAGACGGAGGTTCTTTGTAAGCCATCTGGCTTCCATGAGAGATTCGTTCATGAGGCTATCCACATATACAAACACAGAGACAATTTCAACCGAGAAGATGGATTCTATCTTAGCAATCATTGGAAAGATTTGATAAATCATTTCAGTTCTTGATTGATTGTTCACGCTTACAGTGCCTTTCAGACAGCATACATAAAAACAAATTTCGTCTCCCCCCTCCTCTTTTCAAAAAATAGATGGACTAGTCCTGGCAAACAGCCAATCGTTGCGCGTGACGCAAACGTTATTTTTATATAAATAAATAAATATGCCGTTTTCTAAATAAATTTATGCAAACCGACACACCTGATGATGACCGTTTGAGTTATGGTCGAAACGTCGTGAGAATTTTTTATTGTTTTATATATATTTTGTTATTTTGTTGTTTCTCTTCAACGTGACTTTACCGATAAAAACTAAGAATATGAATTACTGCAGTCACGAAAGCTTTAAATCAAAATAGAAAGATAAACTGTTTACTTTTTTTTTGCTTTTACATCAAATACAATTGTCAGTATAGTTGTATCGTGGCAGAATATCGCTGTACACTTCACCATGATGTTTATTTACATTTATGGTAATAAACATAACAGTTTATGATTATTGTCAAGCAGCATACTTAAGTCTAATTACTTGTCATTGTAACATCTACATATCCACACCTCGTCTAACATAACTGCCATGAGAATACTTGCATGTCATAATGTTCTATTTGGTATTGTTTCTCTTTGAAGGAGCGTATATGCAAACAAAATAGTAAGTATAAACCTTCGTTCATTCACTAACACAAGACAACAACAACAACAAAGATCCCCCGTATAGCGTTAACAGACTGTTGGAGCAAGTGATGTTAGCGAGCACCTATGAAGAAGGCCAGAAAGACAACAACAACTGCCATTTGCCACTCTAAGTGGCGGTGACGTCACCACGACGCTTGTGCCAGGCCAGAAAGACACACAGACACACACGTACACCCCTTAAATGGAATCGTCCTTAGATGGCCACTATTTTGGAGGCAATGGTCCCCAGGCATTATCCTAGCGCCACTATTTTCTACTGCATCCTGCTAACCCTTAATAGTGGCTCACTATAGCACCTGTTCCAACAATCTATAAAAGGCAGTTTCCGCCTTGCGCGTGCGTGCGCGTATATATATAACAGCAGAAACAATGGCGCTGCGTTAGCGACTCACCCATCGGCTGCCGAGTTGGATGGAAGACGTGCAGGTCGAAGGGTTGCGTGTTGGTGCGCTGCACCACCGTCACGTTTTGGCCCGTCCACTTGTTGGCGCGCACCAGCGTGTTGGTGCGCCAGTCGGTCCAGTACACCTCTCCTCCAAAGAGGGTGACGGCGAAGGGGTGCGACAGAAACTCGTGGCCCCGCAGCACCTCAATGAGCTCCGTGCCATCGTACAGGGCAGAGTAGATGGAGTCGGAGCTGTTTTGTGTGTTTGCGGGTCAAGAGGGAGAGGATGCATTGTGAGGTGGTGGCGTAAGGCGGGGTACATCTCCCGACTTATAAGTCAGGGTTGGTGGATCATGCAGAGAAGATGCTGCTATGTTTTATCGGGCACCTGCCTGTAAGGGACAACAAAATAAGCCCCCGTTCCTTGTCGAATTTGCTCATATGATGTAGTTTGTAGGCTGCCATGGTAAATAGCAATAAGTCCGTGATTTCCTGAGTATGAAAATTCAACATTCCTATCGCGCAGGCCAACCAATGTTGACTTCACCACAAAGTGGTACACATTTTTAATTGACCCCGGAGGAATGATGGGCTCAGTCAATCCTCACACAAAATTGAACCTTGCGACCTTTATTCAGATTGCGAGCCACTCGCTGTGCCTGCGGAGCCACCTGGCTGCCTATCCATCTACACATACACATGTATAGCCCTTTTTATCAATCCACTGCTGGATGAGGGATTCGCCACACCTTTGGGGTTATTTGACCATACTTCACCATACTGGTCAATGTGGGCAGTGCATAGATTGGGGGAGCAAAAGCGCATGGCATAACAATGGCTTTTAAAGCACTCTCTATGTTGCTGAATAATCCCACAGCATGGTCACTCATCCAAACACCATCCAGTCTCAACCCTGCTTAGCTTCTGACATCTGATAATAAAAGTAATGCATCTTCTTTTCGTTCTTTCGCTAAAGTCACGTAGAATGAGAATAAAATAATAAATTGATAAAATAAAATAACACAATAATATTCTCACGACGTTTCGGCCACAACACAAGCGGCCTTCATCAGGTGAAGGGACGAGACTGTCTGGAGGACAGCGCTGTCCTGATGAAGGCCGCTTGTGTTGTGGCCGAAACGTCGTGAGAATATTATTGTGTTATTTTATTTTATCAATTTATTATTTTATTCTCATTCTACGTAACTTTACCGAAAGAACCAAAGAAGATGAATCCTTGCAGTCACGAAAGCTTTAAATCGAAAAAAAAAGTAATGTACATGTGTATTTCCAAATCTAGGTCTAATTTTTATAAATGGACCTTGCTAATGTTATCGTTTTACAAAGAAGCTTAATCATACTCTTATTAATCATAAGCTTATTATAAAAAATATATATTTTGCTGGCTTTTTGGCTGTCTGGCTGGTGGGACGGACAGACAAGTCCAAAGGACATGTGGCTGCTAGTTTTACATTTTAAAAAAATGTCATCTAAATATTTTCTGTGTCATGACAATTATATAATGCGTTTGAATGTGTACTATATATATACACACACACGCACATTTAATACTACATTGAACATTGATACACACTTTTCAAGGTAACTATGACATATCACTGTCTGAATACGCCACAAGCGAAGATGGATTGATTATAATCCACCAGTACAGCTGTGAAAGTGGCCTTCCTTCAAAACGTAATTACTTTTTGCATCATTTAAAATTAGCGTGGTGGAATTTCCCAGTGTTAATGACGCGATGACATTGGACATTTTAAATGCAGACTACATTAATGAGCAAAATGAATTTTAAAAATAGCTCCTGAAAAAAATCTAACTCTTACAGATGTTTGACTTTGTTGTAATTCCATGATAGTGTTTATGTCATCGTAAACCCAAGTACAATGGATGGCAGTAGTGTGTTAATACACGGCCCATAGGTTGGTGGTCAAGGACTTAAAATTATGCATACCACAGAAAACTCCATGTGCATGCACACCTTAGCTGCAAGCCAGATTTAGAAGTAGCATGACTGGCCGAATACATTGTTTCCACATTAATACACAGCGTGAAATCAGGGGGAAACTCAAAAGTGCCACGTGCTCTCTAAATCTCTTAAGTGTCTTTTCTAAAAATGTTCAAAGCATTCATACTTATCGGGAAGAAAGCTCCGTTTCATCTCGCACTTAAAAGAAACGTGTCCTTAGGGTGCCTACCACTACCACCCTCTTCCCATGCTCCCACATCGCACGTCCCACTCTCTCCACCCAAACCATCCACCTCACAACTCCCTTGTCAATTGCAGTGCTACAAACGTTGTGACAACGCTGAAGAGAGTCAACAGCTGCAGGCATCAAGGAACTCTGTCAATAATCGCCAAGCAGAGTGAAAAGACTTGTACCCATGAGCTGGTCCAAGAAGCGGGTTTACATTTTTTTACACTTCCCACACTTCCTACATGGCATGTTGTGTAGAAAGCTTAGTGGTTAGCACACTCCTCAGAGAGCCAGTGTGGTTCAACTGTCCCATTGATACATTAATATGAAGAATATTGTAAAGAAACATTCTTTCTGCAAAATAATGGGACGTAAAATATCCACTTCTCCTTCGGCTAAACAAAATAAAAGGGGATATTTTAGATTCCATCAATTTACAAGAGTTACACCATTGCAAGCCATGCAATTTTCAATACCTTCAAGTGAAATATATGACCACAGTTAATTGTAAGCCCATATACATGCAGACATCATTGATACATTTTATTTTCATAAAATGTTACGAGTTTAACTGTCACAATGCAATGCTTGATATTATTAAAATGATATCAGATACAATGCAGACCTCAAGCACAAATATAAAGCAGAAAAAAGGGTTTGTTTCAGTAGTTTATCTCTGATCATACACAATATGCACGGCTGTTTGTTGACTCCAAACCTTTATATATATTTGTTTTATATATATTTGTTTTATATATTTTATTATTTTATTGTTTCCCTTCAACGTGACTTTACCGAAAGAGCTAAGAATATCCAAACCTCCTGTCAACTTTTGCAGACAGGCCAATATTCTCTTGAGTTACGATTTGAAAGCACTTGACCAGTGTGGAGCTGAAGAGAAGCATGGTTTTACCAAGCCTTGCTAGCTAGACCACACGGTTGTTTCTTTCGCATTCCGAGCTGACAACATGACTCAAGAGTAACACGTTACACATTTCCCACAAGCCACGTGAAACTTCAAGGTCAGCAAGATCAAGGGTGCCACTCGACGGCTTTGGAAAAATTGAGAGGAGACAAATCACAATTAATTGTGCCTTGTGCTTAGAGAGCAACTAAGGGCTCCACTGCTACTAATTGAGTGTTTTGTCAATAACCAGAGGGCTTCAGTCCCCCCCCCGCCCCCGTTTAAATTATGTCAGCAGGCAGAGTTTGAGCCATGGCTGTTAAGTGGTAAGAACACACACGGAAGGCTGAATAGGTTAATAGAACTAATAAATCAGTGGCCTCACATTACAGAACTAGATTTAGGACAGTGCAGAAATATATTAATCAGTTAATTGATTATTTGGGTTCACTCGACTTGGGCAATGTGGGATGTGCATTATTGGGGTTTGGAATCAAGGTCAGACAAATCAGAGCTCTAATACATTCACATGGACACGCTTGAGAATTAGTAATACTCAAGCAGCTTTCGCATTCTTTAACAAAGTGAGATTTCAATAAACAACAAGCCCACACTATTTAAAAGCCAGTCTCTTTTAAAATTGGATTCTCCATCTCAATAGATGTTGATCTGTGTAGTTCAATGATCTATTAAGCCATAGGACATTAAAGGCCAAGTGGAAAAGAGTTAATAACAAAACACGCGAATGCATTTCATGAAGAGATTTCATGAGAGAAAAAATGTGCACTATAACAGAATTATCAGCACTATGTACAAGCAGGATTTGTGACTCATGTAACGATCATAATGCACATGCGCCTTCCAAATACAGAATAACCAAGCTGCAGTACCACAAAGAAGACCACAGTGCTATCTATACAGATTGGTTTATATTAAATAGCATTCCTTATTATAATGAATGGGTTTTCTCTGGGTACTAAACTTTTCTCCATCATGAACAGGGTATTCAAAATTTGATATGGCCAAACATCCCCACAGCAGGTCCTTCCTAAAATAAATTCTAGATTTCATCTTATTCTTGCGTATGGCAATAAAAAATACATGCAATTACAGTTCTATGGTGACTCAGTCCGAGTCAGCTATGGTACCTTCTAACTCGAACTAGAAATGTTGCAGCGCTCATTTCCATTGGTGGCCCTCAACATAGTGCTTGGAGCTGCACATTACCATTACAGGAAGCACTACATTCATAGGATGACCACGATTGGCTTCCCACAAAGTGGTACCTTATTTATTTTGCCCCTGAAGGATTATTTAACTCGCTTAAGCAATATTTGAATTCACAATCCTCTGATCGTCACGTGCTCCAACCACATTGTCACATGCCCATGTGATGCTTACCTGGGTAAATAACGACTCTCATTAAATGGATGCTGGTGGTGTAATTTTTTGCACAGTGGACTTGCAATTGCGAGGTTGCGAGTTTGATTCAATCTTCCAGCGTGACAGTTGAAATCAAGGGCAAGTGTCTTATACCACCCCCCCCCCCCATGTCCACCCAGCAGTATAAACTGAAACACAAAAGCTCGTCAATTGAAAGGTCATGTGTGGTGAGGTAAAACGTGGGTAACTTCCCACCCCACCCAAGACATCTCACCAGCGTAGAATAGTAGGTTAAATACCCTCAAGAGCAGTGTTCCTCATTGCAAGGCCCGCGGGCACTGGCGGCCCCTGACGTACGGTCCAGATAATACACAACACGTGACAACACCGCCCATCATCGTGCTGCTGTCAAACCCAGTGGTTTCAATTAGTGGCGGCCCTCACACTGATGATGTCTTATCGGCGAAAGTGGCCCCCTCTCTGAAAATTAGTGAAGAACACTGCTCAAGAAGGTTCTCAAGAGCACCCACTAGTGGAGGTCCTTCCACCAGCAGCAGAGCGAGAAGGCAGACTGCAGGGCTGAACCTTCACCCTCGTCACACGTTGTCTCGAGTGGAATGTATTGCGATTGCCACACGCACACACACACACACGTACCGGGCATCTATCCACATGATGCGGTTCTCCAGGTAGTCTACGGTGAGGCCGTTGGGCCAGCCTCCAGCTCCCATCTCATGGTGGATGACGTGCCGCCCTGTGCCACTCATGGAGATGGCCTCGATCCGAGGAAACGATGAATCCCAGTCAGTCCAGAAGAGAATCCTGCGAGGCGGACATAGGCGCTGGTGTGGAGCTAGGCGCGGCGGATATATCGTCTTAACCTTTATCGAGAGTGCACTCGTTGTCCCGTGTCACCGTTAACCTTATCAATACGATGACGGAGGAATAGCGACAAAAATTAAAGGGAACAATTGTCATGGCTGCCTCAACAGAACACTGTTATTAGGTAGGTGCTTGTAATATCCCCTTATTTTTCAATAGAGTGCATTTGGTTTCTTTATCAAATGTCGAGGTATTATTACCAATTAAATTATAGATAAAATCCATAAAAATGTGAGCATTTTGAGGTTTTCCAATCTCTCCACATGAAAAACATATTACCGTTGATGTGTGTGTATGTGTATATATAACCAACATACAGATGCGACTATTGTTAAATAAAATGCAAACCTTGAACACATTTAAGAGCATGTCAGATCAATAAAAGCAAGTAAACTTTACATAAAGGCACAACTACTGAAAATAATATCCTTATAAATATCTTCAGTTATGACTATGAAAGGACAAAAGTTAACAAAGGCAGTTGTACATAACTAAGAACCTGGTAAGAGTGTTCATACTACTTGGGAGTAATGTTTTCCCGGATTCAACATATAAGCGATTAATTTAATAATAACATTCGCTGGCCTATGTAAAAAAAGACTGGTCAGTAGATGGCAACTTTATATAACGGAGGCAGAACATAAGCTGGGATTTTGGTCTGGAATGTGACCTATAGGATGAATTTATTTGTTCTGATAAGTTGTTGTTGTTTGCGCTTTTAGTTTTGGTGCCATTTCTTAATGTGTGTATTAATTTTTTATTCTGCTTGGTAACAGGGTTTTTAATTGCTTGTATGTATGTTGAACTTCTTTCGCACCGTACGTAGCCAACCATGCTCATCGGCGGTGCTTGGTAGTGGCTCTACATGGGATTTCGTCCTTACATATATATAAACAATGTACAACGTTATTGGCACGAATGTCGCGATATAAAATTCAAGCATTATTACACCTCCCAGCACGTCGAGCAAAACGTCGGACGTCATGGCGTGCAGCACGCAACAACAATCCATGGACACATCGTGGGGGGTTGGGGGGCCGCTCTTACCCGTATCGAGGGTCAAGCGCGATGGCGCGCGGATGCTCGATTCCGCCCGCCACCAGCGTGCTGCGCATGGTGCCGTTGAGTCGCGCCACCTCGATCTGGTCCAGGTTGCTCTCAACCCAGTAGATGTTGCCGGCGATCCAGTCCACGGCGAGCCCCTCCGGCGTGGCCAACCCGTGCTGCACCACCACCTCCACGCTCGTCAGGCCTGCGGGTCGTGGTGCGGCGCAACGCAGGCGCGGTGTTGCGGACATACGGACGCAAATGTGGGCCATACGATGGGGCCCTCAACTCAGGCTGAACGTAATTTGAAGAACCTGTAAGAAATTACTTTCTTTGCATAGGCTGTTAAATATTTAGCAGGCATGTGATGGATAACCAATCCCATCCATTATGACCATGAGACTTGATCAATCAACTGCTTAACTGATCCGAAATGATTCTTACGCTCGCAATACATGCATGAGATCGTTCGTACCAGAATGTACAACTTAATAGTTGGCTAATTTTACGCAAATGCTACCATTAGATTAATATGATGCATGAGACGGAACAAATAAGTCAGAAAATACAAGGCAGACAATAGATAAATGAAGCAGTACAAAATAGACTAAAGGAATTGATTATTCATTTGAATCATTATCCCAATTTGGGACAATTCATTGAATCGCAAGGGGGTGAACAATTACATTTATTTTTCAGGCCTAGCATTATCGGGCTCATTAGAGGGATTATCGGAACTCACAGATGATAGTGTTTATTGGAGCTAAAATGCCCCCATCACTATAGAGGTGAATTATTGAAATCCCCTCAAATTGTGAAAAAAATCGAAGATTGTTATTGCCCAAGTGCGTTTTAGTGACATCAAAACACAATTTCTTATTATACCTTATCAGTGTGACTTGAACTTTGAGAATATTTGGGTATAATTGAATCCACTTAGTATTATTGCATTTCAGCAACTGCATTTTTCACTACAGCAGTTGACTCTGTTGTGAATGCATATTAATAGAGTAGGTTCAAAATATGTACTTAAAACACCCTCACACGTGCATTTCAAGGCAGTGTTATCAACACAATGTCTTGTGCTTTTTGCCGTTTATGCTTGTGCGCCACTGCCAACGCAGCATCACCAAATAATTTGCTTACAATTTTAAATGTAGGCATAATGTACACATTTCTTTCATTTAAAAAAATGCCACGGCCAATCATAAACAACCCTATTCGTTACTAGCACAACCTATATCGTAGTAACACGAACACCAAAGCAATTGCTATTTAACACCGAAACATTTCTGACAAATGTTCTTCGTTGGAGCTAACTGCAACTGTGACCTTCAATTCTTTATCACATTCACTTACAGGGGAGACAACATTTACGGCCAATTGGGAAGACGTGGACAAAGAGTGGCCCGCTTTGAGACTCTGCGATAGGCACAAGGTGAACTCCGAGAGTGAAGGTACACTTTCTTAATATTCCACCGTGCATGCCTGGGTTGAGGGTTGTGTGCACCGTGACCGATCACCAGGCAACACACTGCATTCCAATGAGCAAACCCAGTGATCAGTACATTTTATTTAGGTATTCAGTTTTAGATTCATGCATGTACTTACAGACAAGCAAGACAATTTAATTTCTTTGCTAAGGAGAAAAAATAGTTAAATTGAGGTGGGAATGAAATAACAACTAAGCAAATACCTCGCATTGAGTGTACCATTATGTTTGCACTACTACGCTGAATGTGAATTGTCTCTTATCCTGCCTCATGATGATAAAATATAACTGCTTAAACTAACGGACTGACATACATGGGAACATAAACTTTTAAAACAATAATAACCTTAAGTTAATGTTATTTTAATAAAAAAAGGAAATAATATATACGTAGACCTAAAATTACATCCGCGTGTATAATAGAGAGAGGAAACTTGAGAATAGAATATGAACAGTAAGCACATTTGCCATGATAACTTGGGTATAATAATTCGACAATTATAACATAATACTACTAATAAAACACATTGAATTGTATAAATGGAAGTGCAAGCACTGGCTTTAAGTGGTTTGAACACTATGCGCAGATAGTACACGTTTCTTTTTATTTAAAACTCTCAAAAAATGTATTCTATGGTTCTTTCGGTAAAGTCATGTAGATAAAAGATTTTTTTAAGATTGTAATAAAGTGATTAAAAATATCATGACGTTTCGATCGCAACACAAACGGTCGTTGCGATCGAAACGTCGCGATATTTTTAATCACTTTTTTTTTTCTATCTACGTGACTTTAGCGGAAGAACCATAGAATATGAATTTCTGCAGCCACGAAAGTTTTAAGTCAAATATTAAAAAAAAAACGTTTGGCCATTCCTCACATAGATATTAACTGTGCGGGCAATAAAAAGAAAACCTCAGTGTGATGATTCATAGAGTTCAATCAAATTTTTGCGGAGTTGGTTACCCAAACAGGTCACAATATACTTTAAGATTGGGCACAGCTGCACGCTCCTGGGCACATATCCAGTCACAGTCTATCTCCACACGGGACCCGCAGTAGCAGCGGTCGGCAAAAAATAAGAAGCAGCCTCAGCACATTTGTATTTAATCTCCAGCTTAACCCTTTCCCGCTCGTAGACGTTTGCAAGTTGTGGGGTGGGGGTGCCCGTTCACCGCCGAATCTCGGAACGCGAAGCGACACAGCATTCATTTTATTTAGAGAGGCATAGCGCCGTTGTTTTTAAAAGACATTGTACCCACCACAGTGAACTGTAGAGACATGACCGCACTCTACGATAGCTGGTGCCAGACTCTGTCACACGCCCCTGCCTGCATGGTCTTGTGGGAGAGCCTCGGTATTGATAAAGTCATTTTATTTTTAATTCCTCTTCCGGTTCCGTTCCGGAATGTGAAAGGGGTAAGCGCATGAACTCGGTGCACCCATGGAGTAGCAGCGGATGGCGCGCGACGCAGGGTGCGGACGGCACTAACCTCCCGTTTCGGAGAGCTTCCCGTGGTAGATCTTGTCCTCCACAACGTCGGTCCAGTAGAGGGAGCTCTGGTTGAGGTGGAAGTCGATGGCGATGGTGTTGCGGAGACCCGGCACCAGGACGCTGTAGTCGCCCTTGTGCAGGTCGATGCGCCGGATCTCGTGGCGGTTGGAGAAGATTATGAAAGGGACGAAAGGGTCTGCAGACGGCCGTGCCACACGGATGGGATTCAGAAGTGGCACGTGAGCGGGAGAAGATGAAAGCGATGGCACGCGACGGCAAATCCGGAAAAAAGAAGGCGCATCAAACGTTGAAATTAAATTCGAGGAGATGAAAGTGGACCGTATTACGTATTAAAAAAAGAATACCAAAGAATTGCAATTTTAACAAATAATATGCAAACAAAATTGCGAGGCAGTGAAATAGTCTTCCTGAGATGCCTGACTGTGCATACTCTCCTTCACATTCACGATTTAATGGTTGATTAAAGTTTCAGATGCCAGCTCTTTGAATTACAGGGGAGCTTGCAACCTTCAAAGTGATGGTCTTGCGATCACTCAGCCTATCAAAATTCACGGCATGATCTCTTAGCAATGTCATTTGTTTGGACTAAGAGAAGGCAAAGTGTGATGACATGAAAACAAATAGAACGCACATACATTTTTTTGAGAACAGACAAGAAAGCCGGGTTACGGTTTTAGTCAAATATTTGTCTCAAACACTAAAGTGTCTCAATCAG